TTTATTGTTATGCCGTCCATCTCCATTATAAGGCAACTCTAGAAGATGATGTTGATTACATGCTGTCAAGTCACTTTTGACTCCTGGAGACCACATATTTCCTAGAGATCTCACAACATTTGAATACCTTTCCAAATCCAGACTTTGTGAACTGGAGAAAGATTCAGTAACATTTGGAGTGAATCCAGTACAGGGGGAAATGCTGTTAGAAGAAAGGAAGGGACGAGCAGAGAAAGGGAAATAAGTCTGGGAGTTGAAGTCCACACATCATAAACTAGCCAAGTTTTCTCTATTCTTACCACCAAGAGTTGCTAAAGTTGTCGTGGACATCTAAATAAAAAATATATAAATTTTGAGTGTGTAGAGAAACGAATTTAAAGGGCAAAATGTAACCATGCACTATTTCTTCCTCCTCACTAGATGGCAACATAAGTCTGGTATGCCAAGCTTCCCTTTATAATGTATTTTTCTTGGTGTTTTTTTTTAATCGTTTAAAATTTTAAAAGTCCTTACCTAATGACAAGAACACCATAATGACTGAAGGCAGAGCAAAATTTGAATCCACTGAAGGTCTCCTGAAACACAATAATACCAGGCAGCATCTTGAAAAGTGATTCTGTGGGTGAAGAAGGAGCTCCTTTTTTTTGCCCCTTGATATAAATAAAAAACCTTGACGACTTTACGTCTCAACTGTCTCCTCATATCCAAATGCCAAGATACAAGGTCCATCCTTTGGAAACTGTCAGTATCAAAATATATTTTCATTCAGCCCAAGTGTGGGATGGTGGTACTGCTATGTTTCTAAGAAGGCTTCCTGACCATGATATGTGGGGATAGAAGGATTAATTATGTATCATCAAGTGGGTGTCAACTCTTAGCAGCCACATAAATATGTCTTCTCCAGATTGATCTGTCTCTATCATGGTCCTTCAAATCTTTTAGCAGTACCCACATTGTCAGTATAACAGAATGACAGAGTTGAGGTGACCTTGAAGGTATTTTAGTCCAACCTTGCTCAAGCAAGAGGCTCTATATAGTTGTCTAATCTCTTTCTAAAAACTCCAGTGATGAAGCACCCACAATTTCTGAAGGCAAACCATTCTACTGATAATTGTTCTGTCATGAAATTTCTCCTTAATTCTAGGTTTCTTCTCTCCTTGGTTAGTTTGCATCCATTGCTTCTTGTCCTTCCTTCAGGTGCTTTGGAGAATAAGTTGATCCCACCCCCTTCTTTGCAGTAGCCCCTTAGATATTGGAACACCATTATCATGTCACCCCTAGTACTCCTTTGCATGAAACAGTATCCATTTGTTTTGTTTTTGGCTGTCTTCTTCTCAAATTATTACAGGATGACAAATATCAATCAGAAGAAGAGTAACATGGAAACATCCAGTAGTTCTTGTTCTCCCGAGGATAAAGAAATGGATGGGATTGCAATATTAAATATATAAGATGGAAATGTGATTAGGGTGAGCTCAAGGCTCAGCTCAGAAACATATCCAAGATCCTTTCGTTGTAGCAACTGCTGGAAAATAAGTCAGTCTCTCTTGCCACCATCCCGCACTTGGGTTGAATGAAAATATATTTTGATACTGACAATTTCCAAAGGATGGACCTTGTATCTTGGCATTTGGATATGAGGAGAAAGTTGAGACGCACAGTTCTCAAGGCTATTTATTTGTATCAAGGGGCAAAAAAAAAGGAGCTCCTTCTCCACCCACAGTATCACTTTTCAAGATGCTGCCTGGTATTATTGTGTTTCAGGAGATATGGTGCTTCATCTGGTGCCCTTCCGTGGATTCAATTTTTTTTTTTACTACTGGTTCTGTGGGTGTGGCTTGGTGGGTGTGCCAGAGGAAGGATACTGCAAAATCTCTATTCCTCCCAATCCCCCTAACCTGCTTTCCAGGTCTCTTCTCCTGTGCAGGGCAACAAAAGAAGACCCAGCTGATCAGGACTCGGGAGGCAGAGAATAGATGCATGCAGCCAGTTAGAGGTGGTATTTGCTGGTTCTACAAACTACTCAAAATTTCCACTGCCGGTTCTCCAGAACTGGTCAGAACCTGCAGAATATCACCTCTAGTGCCCTTATTGTCTAGTAAAGCTTCCTTTCCACCACTGAATGAAGTGAGGGATAATTTATTTATTTTCAAATAATATTCTACTCTATTTTTTAAAAAATAAAATAAAAAGGACCACCAGAAGAAGACCTTCAAAATAACCAATATGTTTAGGGAATTGATAGATCTATTTTTGTGCTCTGAATGGCACCTCAAAGATTAATAATATGCTCTCCCATTGCTGCTAAAACTGGAGACTTCAAAAGCACAAAGTTGTGGTTGTAATGTTGTTATCTTCTACTGTGCTAAAATGAGTCAGAAGTTGGTGCCTTTTTCTTTCCTTTTCTCCCTTTACACCAGGGATGACAAACTCAAATCCTGGGGGCCAGATCCAACTTGTGGGTTGTTTAGACCTGGCCCACTGTGATGACCTGGGATGTGCACAAAGACAACTCAATCAAATAATAAGTATGGGTCCCTTTATTAGCTCTAACTTTGCCCCTCGTGCTCCGGTTACCTTCTGGTCTGGAGAAAAACTCGCCCAAGAACATGAAACAGCCTTTGGCTGCAGATATTCCAGTTCAAAACAGTATAAACAGAAAAAATTAACTATAAATCCAACAAGGCAAAATAAGGTAATAAATCCGGCAGGGCAAGATAAGGAGTTCCAGAAGTGAAATATCATGGTAGTAAATAAAACCAGTTGGGAGGATGCCAGGAACTCAGATAACAGCAGCCAACACTAGATAAAGTTAGCATTTGTTACCCCACCCATCTACCTCTTCCCTGCTCTGCCCAGCCTGACTTTGCCCTTCCCCATTTTCCTCCACAGCCAATGGAGCCACTCTCCCACTCTCTGTCAGCTGTTCATCTTCCTCCTTGGATTCAGAATGGAGGCATGACACCCGTTGGGCCATCATGAAAACAGTGAAGGATTAGCCTGCAGTACCTCCACCAGCAAAAATGGACTCAAGGAGGCTGTACAGTTCTGTTTTTACAGTTCTGCAACAGCCTCCTGCAGCCCTCTACCAACAAAAACAAGGCCCGGTGAGGCCGTGCATTCCAATTTTGCTGGCAGAGGGCTGCAGGAGGCCATTGCAGTTGAAAATGGAGTCTCGACAAGTGATGTACAGCTGACCATGGCCACCCTGGCCATGCCCCCTGTCTCCCTGAGGTCAGACACAACCATGATATGTCCCTCAATGAAATTGAGTTTGACACCCCTATTTACACTATTTATTTTTCCAACACACATTCACAGTTTACATTATTTATTTTTCCAACACACATTCACAGAAGGTTTTTTTTTTCCCCTTTACAGTTCATAAAAATATAAAGGCAAAGGTTTCCTGTGTCCAGTCATGTCTGACTCTAGGGACCAATGTTCATCTCTGTTTCTTACTTGAGGGACCCAATATATTGTCTAAAGATACCTTCTGGGATTATGTGGCCAGGATGATTCAATATGCCAAGGCACTGTTACCTTTCCACTGAAGTGGTACCTATTAATCTACTCACATTTTCATGCTTTTGAACTGTTGGGTTAGCAGGATCTATGGCAAGGAAGGGGAGCTCACTCTGTTGGAAACCCCCAACATCCCTTTGGTTATTCTGTTATTCTGATTTTTCTGTTAGAATTGAGGATACTGTCAGCTTTGGGCTGTCAGCTTTCCAGCTGAAAAGTTCAGCATATTTAACAGCTGAGTCATCATGTCCCCTTGTGAAAGTACAGTGTATCCTCAGTTCTAACAGAAAAATCAGAATAACAGAGTTGGAAAGGACCTTGGAGGTCTTCCAGTCCATCCCCCTGCTCAGATAAGAAAACATATACCTTTTCAAACAAATGGCTGCCCAAATCTCTTCTTAAAAACCTGCAGTGTTGGAGTACCCACAACTTCTGGAGGCAAGTTGTTCCACTGATCAATTGTTCCAACTGTCAGGAAATTTCTCACTAGTTCTAGGTTTTTCTCTCTTTGTTTAGTTTCCATCTGTCACTTCTTGTCTTGTCCTCAAGTCCTTTGGGGAATAGGTGGACCCTGTCTTCTCCCCTGAAATATTGGAACAGTGCTATCCTTCCATTCCATGTACTTCTTTTCATTAAACTAGACATACCCAATTACTGGAGGTCTTCCAGTCCAACCATGCTCAAGCAGGAAACCCTATACCATTCCAGACAAATGGCTGTCTAGTCGCTTCTTAAAAGCCTCCCCAACTTCTGGAGGCAAGCTGTTCCACTGGTTAATTCTCCTCACTGTTAGGAAGTTTCTCCTTAGTTCCAGGTTGCTTCTCTCCTTGATTGGTTTCCATCCATTGCTTCTTATTCCTACCTTCAGGTGCTTTGAAGAACAGGTTGGCTTCCTCTTCTTTGTGGTAACCCCTGAGATACTGGAACGCTGCTATCATGCCATCCCTAGTCCTTCTGTTCATTAAACTAGACATACCCGATTCCAGCAACCATTCGTGATGTGTTCTAGCCTCCAGTCCCCTGATCATCTTTGTTCCCAGGACATGTCCTGGGAACATGGTTTTATGAAGGACTTGTAAATAATCCTCACGCCAGTGACAAAGCTCCAAGCTCCTTTCTCTGGAGAAAGCCTACCTGTAGCCAACCCATTTTGCACAAGCAGCTTTTCTCAGGTGGTTGTATTCAAATACACTAGAATACAGAGCTCCCCATATTATTGTCAGTCACCTTAGTTAAGCATTTTGTGAGTTACTGACCTAAATCCATTAGGGTGTTTTAGGAAAGATGCAAGGAAGATTCAAATGATTTACCCATTGGCAGATTTTTATCCTCCAGGGGGCAGTTTAGAACTTCATACTTTCTCCATCCTTTCTCAAACCACCTGCTTAAATTGAAAACCACAAGTGAGGACATGCATGATGAATGCAATTGCTTGCCCCAAAAGGAAACCACATTCTCAATTGCAGCTTCTTCTAAATGTAGGAAGCAAAGGAGAGTGCTGGTTTGCTTCAGAGGACCAAGGATGCCTTTTCCTTCTCAACCAAGCCATCATTTGATTTTACTGGGACTTTTCTTATTGCTGCTGAAATCAGGTAAAATATGTTAATGAAAAGCTCTCCTTCTACTCCTCCTCTTCCTCCCACTCTTAATTTATTAACAAAAATACAAAATGATGGTTTAGGAAAGTTTTGGATTTTTCCTATTGCTTCTGAAATTAGGCAATATTTTTATTGAAAGACTCTCCTTCTTATTCCATTCTTGTTGTCCTCCATCCCTCCTCTTCCTCCTCCTCTTTCTCCCTTTCCTTAGAATTTATTAAACATAAATATAGACTTACTAAACAAAGTATAAGAAGCAAGTCCAAAAGTTTTGAAAATAAAATGTTTAAGCTGAAAAATTGAGATGAGGACTGATAATTTTACTTTCAATACCCTTTGAAAGGGTAAAACATGTATATGGAATGCTGAGTTCAGCTGTGATCTATCTTCTGTCTGTAAACTTGTGATTGGCCTGTCATATGCTGTCCATAAAAGAATCTGTTTGAAAGCTGTTTGGCATTCTCTTTTTCCATAGATTTTCTCCTTTTGGAAGTTCTTTAAGTGATTTAACTAATTTCTTTAAAAAAAAAATAGATACTAGATTCCTATTTTAAATTGGGAAATAAAAGATGTGATAGATAAGTAAATGTTTTTCCTCAGTGTCCACAAGCAATCTCTGTTCTGAATCTTTTTCCATGATATCTCTGAAAAGGAACATGTAAAGACTAAGATATACATTCCAAACTCTGAATGAATTTCAGGAACTATTCTGAGGTCCTGATTTCTACTTTTTGTTCTCTTAAGGTACTTCTCAAAGTGATTCAGTGTCCCAGAAACAAAACCATATGGAAATCATAGAAGGAGAAAATGCCACTTTGCCTTGTAACTTCACAACTATCACCACTACTCCATACATTTTTTGGTACCGTCAGTATGAAAATCAAATACCAGAACGGATCCTGAGCGCTGACAAATTCAGTTCAGAGGATAAGCACTTCCAGGAGGGAAAGTTTTCTACCATCTTACTTTTGGGGAATCAGAATTCAGTACCTCTGAACATTAGAGAAGTCTCTCTGATAGATGAAGCTGTTTATTTTTGTGCTCTGAACCCCACAGTAAATGATGTCTATATATAGACTCACACAAAAGTCAGTGAAGTGACACCAAACTCAACTCTGTACAGAGAGTTCTATCCCACTAACCTCTAATTCATCCAAGGAATGATGATGATGATGATGATGATGATGATAATGATGATGGTGATATTATTATTCACAAAAAACAACAGTGTGCACAGCAAATGCGGTAACTATGCTGGGTTTCATATCACAAATCACTAGTTGAACACTTCCCAAACGTTTAGGACTGCAGTGGATTATGTGAGCAGATCACAGTAAGGTGGTCTTCTGCAGCTGACCAATGGTGATTTTGTCAGTACCAATTGTTTTAAGTGCTTGCCTAGGTTTTTAAGCACAGCACCCAGTGTGCCCGGTGCCACTGGAACCACCTGCACTGGTTTATGCCAGAGTCTCTGCAGTTCGATTCTCAAGTCCTGGTATCTGGTGATTTTTTTCAAGTTGTTTCTCAGCAATTCTTCTGTCACCAGGTATGGCAATGTCGATGAGCCAAACTTTTCTTCTCTACAATCATGATATCCAGGGTATTGTGTTCCAAGACTTTGTCAGTCTGTATTTGGAAGTCCCACAGTAGTTTTGCATGCTCATTTTTGATCACTTTCTCAAGCTTATGATCCCACCAGTTCTTTGCTACAGGCAGATGGTAGTTGTGACAAAAATTCCAGTGAACCATCTGAGAGACTGTGTTGTGATGTTATTTGTAGTCAGTCTGAGCGATTGTCTTGCAACAGCTCAGTATGTTGTTGTTGTTGTTGTTATTATTATTATTATTATTGCCCATCACCTCTAAAAAGCAGTGGAGAGTGAAAGAATGATGATCCTACTGGGCTTTCTAAAAGAAAAAAAAAATATTTTTCACCTCACATAAACCAGGATGAATAAAGATCCAAAGGAACAATTTATGGAGAATTTACATTGAAGTATGCATTGGCAGAATGGAAAGTAAGAAAGAAGAAGAAAACAAAGTAAGACTGTACAGTTGGGACCAAGTGAATGTTGGAAAGGAAAGCTGTAGAGATACCAGTAGTGAAGGCTACATTTGAGACAAAAGAAGTGAAAGAGCACTTAGTCACAATAAGAATGGACTGGATCTCAACTCACTGATTACAAAAGTCCATTATGTGGAGCAGCACCAATAATCTTAATCTTAATCAGAATAGAAATAGAAGGACCTTGGAAGTTTTTTAGTCCAACCACCTGCTCCAACAGGAGACACTATACTATTTCAGATAGGTAGCTATCCAGTCTCTTCTTAAAAACCTCCAGTGATAGAGCACCTACAATTTCTGAAGGCAAGTGTCTATGGAGATTCTTAGTCACTCAGGTCATAGCTGTCCCAAAGGTGCTTTTTCCAGAGGCAACTGGACTTGACTGTTTTTTTCTTTGAAGATGTTTTGCTTCTCATCCAAGAAGCTTTTTCAGTTCCCAAGTAGCTGGAAAAGCTTCAGCTCCCAAGAAGCTGAAGAAGCTTCATGGATGTAAAGCAAAACATCTTCAAAGAAAAACCAGAAAGTCCATTTGCCTCTAGAGAAAAGCACCTTTGGGATTTCTGAAGGCAAGCTGTTCCACTGGTTAATTGTTCTTACTGTTAGGAAGTTTCTCCTTAATTCCAGATTGCTTAGCTCCTTGATAGTTTCCATCCATTGTTTTTGGGTGAATATAGATCCAAAGAATCTATATGGAGAATTGACAATGAACTTTCTGGCCACAAGAAGAATAGACTTGAAAAAGTGGTGGAGAATGAAAGATCCTATACTGGATTTTCTAAATGAAACATAGTTATTTTTCACCTGGAATAAGCCAAAATGATTATATCTCCCAAGGAACCATTATGGAGAACAGATGTTGAAGTATCTGGAGACAGAAAGGTCAATGAGAAAGTAGAAGGAAAAACAGTAAACCTAATGGTTTTGAACTAGGGATTTTATTATTGTGAAAGAAGAATAGACTTAGACTTAGAATAACTTTATTGTCCCTTTAAATGTACACTAATTGGCATTCATTAAAATGAAATTTCATGGCATATAACTCTCAAAAGGTCACCACCTCCAATATACACTATATAAATATGACAAAATAAATAAATGAATACAAAATTATGCATATATCCATATACCCACATACATTATATGACACAGAGAAATAACGTAGTCTAGACTGGATGTATACATGGTGAGAAAAATGAATCTTGCAATAGAGGTACCAACAGGGATGATTACACTTGGTGCAAGGAATGTGAAAAAGCATTTTGTCCCAATAATAGGACTGGATTTCATCTCACCAATTACTAAAGTCCATTATTTGGGAAAAGGTAGAGGTAAAAATTTCCCCTATCCAGTTGTATCCAACTCTAGAAGGAGGAACTCATTTCTATTTCTTAGCCAAGCAAGTCAGAATTGTCCAAAGACTTTTCCATGGTCATGTGGCCAGCATGACATCATGCCACAATGCAGAGCATGCAGTGAAACCAGAGTTCTTTTACCTTCTCACAGAAGTGGTACCTATTGTCCTGCTCACATTTGCATGCTTTCAAACTGCTAGGTGGACAAGAGCTGTGGAAAGTAAGGGGAGCTCACCCCATTGTGCAGTGCTTGGGTCTCAAACCTGGGCTGTCATCCCAGTATCCTTAACCTCTGAGCTATTGCATCCCCATTCTTTGGGGCAGCCCCTGTATAATTATATTAATCCTTTATTAGATACTTGGAAAAGATGTGATAGTTATTAAATACAAAACCCACTCAGATGGCTTCATAGGTAAATAACAACAACAATAATAGGGCCACAAAATAGGCAAACTATTACAAAATGAAGAGGCTAAAGGAGCTTTAGAATTCCAATAGACAAGCATGTGCCACATAACACAAATGAGTTAACAAGTATCAATAAGGAAAGATAAAAGAGTCTTGATATAGGCATGGCAGTACCTGGAAATGGGATAGAAGAGAAAGAACTGGGGGAATAAAAACAAGACCTGCAAACAGAAGTAGAACAACTATGGCAGAAGAAAAGAAACACAGTACCGATACCAATAGGCACCTTGGCTTCAATCCTAATATACGTGGACCGCTGCTTGAATATTATTGACATTGCCAATATCATCATTAGCCAATTGCAAACAGCAGATTCATCTGAATAGAATAGAATAATTTTAAGGTCACTTTGAATATACACTGATTGGCATATTTTAAAGTGAAATTTCATTGCACAGCTCTCAAATTGTCAATACCTCCAATGTATACTACATAACCATGACAGAATGAATGAATAAATGAATGAATGAATAAATATGCATACACCTACATATATTATATGACACAGAGAAACACCACTGTCTAGTTCAGATGTAAACATATACATGGAAAGATAAATAAATCTTGCAAGTAAACCAGACAGATGGTCTAGGGAACAAAGCTGTTACACAATCTGGTAGTCCAGCTTCGAAAAATCCTCCCAGAGGGGAGCAACAGAAAAAGACCATAAAGTGAGTGTGCGGGGTCTCTAACAATGCTTTGAGCTCTAAGCACATAGCACTTATAAGCAGTATCCTGAATAACAGGAAATGAACTTCCTATACTCTTCTCAGCTATCCTTACCCCTCTCTGTATGGACTTTCTATCTGAAGCACTGCTGCCACCAAACTTCTAGCAACAAGCTTTAATATCATCAACGAACAATATCTCCCTAGCTAAGGTCTTTGGGAAGGTCTCAGTTGATGGATAAAAATGCCAGTCTGAACATCTGGCTGACTGTGCGGCTAAACATCATTGCTATTGCTATTTCAAACCCACTGCCTCGCATTATTTAAAATGAAATAATAATCTGTGAGTATTTTTAATATATTATAAACATGACATCATATACGAAACTTATGGTAATATAATTTCGGTGCCATTCAGTGCATAAAAAGTATAATTGTTTTTCACTGGCTAGAATTCCAGGCATGGCAAACCTAGAGAATGCCGAGGTAACCATGGTTGGGTGGAAGGATGTGTATAACAAACAAGGATCCACATGCAGCCCATAGCCCAATTCTCATTCAGATACATGAGTGTGGTTCAATTTCAAAGGTCCCAAGTGTGCTTTTTTAAAAAGTAACTGGGCTTTGTTTTTTTCCCTTGAAGACATTTTGGTTCATCAGTTCTGCACCATGAATTTGGCATCTAAGAAGATTCTTTCTGACCAAATGGTGGAGGATGGAAGGATTTATATTCATTGCAGTCATTTTAACAGATTAACAGAGTTGAAAGGGACCTTGTAGGTCATCTAGTCCAGGGGTCACCAACCGGTGGGCCATGGCTCACTGGTGGGCCGTGAGAAAATTTTGGTGGGCCACAGAGAAATCTCACCTCCAGAGCACCCCCACAAAGCAATTAATCCAGGCTGCGCAGAAACACAAGGCTGCTCAGCCCACATGGCCCTCAGTAACCCTCCCCACCCACTCACTCCTTTCCTGGTAAACTTGTCTGCAAAGTTGCTATATTTCCTTTTTCCAACCATCACCTGTTCTGCTGTTCCAGGAGATTTAGATTAGCTAGGAAGCAGGAAATGGTTGGATTTCTTGCTTTCTAGCTAAACACAGCCAAACCTCCCTTAGGACTGAAGGTTTGCTTGCAAGCAAATTCAGTACAGACTCATGGCAAGCAAATTTGAGAGACTGAGCTAGCCAATAGCAAATCGATAGATCACTAAATGATTCTGTGAGCAACTCAATCTACCTACTTTGCCTGATTTTGGATAAAAGTTGCTTTTTTATATAAAAAATTAAATATTTACATACATGGTGTGTTGTGAGTTAATTTTATGAGTTTGTGTTAGGGATACACCCTAGCAGAATCTGCACGGCAGTCAGGCAGGCAGGCAAAATATGTGAGATAAACGTTTTTGTAGCTTACACTCAGTAAAACAGATACACAGTGCTAGTTAAATAGTTTATTCCAGTAAGAGTTATAGCATAGTCAAACAGTCCATATATCATTCACTAGTTCAGTCCGTCCAGGGAT